GAGATACCACTCCCTCGCCAAGCTCCTCGTCATCTTGGCAAACGTCTGCGGCGCGACCCTCCCCCTCTCGACGGCCCGGCCCAGCACAAAGATGGCGTCGGCCAGCGCCCGCTCCTCGGCCACCAGGTCGTACAGCTGGTTGCCCACGACGTGCGGCGCCACCAGCAGCTCGTCCACGTCGGGCTCGGGCTGGCGCGCCGAGCGCTCCACCACGCCGTCGGCCCGCCGCAGGCTGTCCTGCAGCACCGCCGTGTTGGACGACAGCAGCCCCGAGAGCTGGCCCAGCTGTGCCGACTCGGCCTGGAGGGCGGCCGAGGCGGCGCGCATGGCGGCGCGCTGCGACTCGAGGCCGGCGAGGGAGGCGTCGTTCTGGGCGCGCGCGCGCTGGCGGAGGTCGTGGAGGGTGCGGGCGAGCTGGTGGAGGAGGAGGTCCTTTTCGGGGTTGGGGGGGATGGGCGGGGCGGGGACCGACGAGGTCGACGAGGGGGGGATGGGGAGGGTGAGGTCCTCGTCGAGGAGGTTCGGGGCGGGTTTGGGCTTGGGTGGGGGTTGGGCGGCGGGGTATTGGTGGGGGGTAGGGGGTTGTTGTTGGTGCCAGGCCGGAGGGTTGGGTTGACCGGCTTGGTAGGGCTGCGGATGAGTGAAGGCTGGCGGGTTCCGCCCGGGGTCGTTCGGTGCGTATGCAGGTTGAGGATGTTGTTGGGGGGATCCAGTCTGTGTGGGGGGCGGCGACCATTGCTGGGGAGGCCCCCCATGGGCAGGTCGTTGGGCTTGCGGAGGGAGGGGGCCGCCGTGTTGGGGGTGGGGATTGGAGTAGCCTTGCGGCGGTGGCAGGGGCGGCGGCTGGCTGTAGCGCCATGACTCGGGCCTTTGTTGCTGCTGACCCGGCGGTCTCGAGTCTTCGGGGTGGGAGTAGCTCGTGGGCTTTTGTGGTGGAGGTGGAGGTAAGGGGGGACCTGTTGGCTGAGGATGTCCGTGTTGTTGCGCATGCGGCGGGGAGTGCGCGGGCTCGGCATGCGCTCCGGGCTTCGGCGGGAGAGGGGGTCTCGCTGGAGCCTCTTGAATTTGGTGCGCCGTCGGGCTTGTGACTCTTGGTGCCATGCCCGGCGGGAGAGGCGGCACCGGGGGTGGTGTCGGGGTGTGTTCCTGAGCAGGAGGGGGTGGTCGGCCCTGGGTCCGCGCGATGACGGGTGGTTCCTTGGCAAACACATCCCGCAGGATGGTGAGGAAATCGAGAATGGTCGACTTCTACTGGCAGTCAGCTTTGTCCATCTTGTCTGTGTCTCCATGTCCACGTACATCCCAAAACCCAGCCCATCCAAGGAGGTATGGATGGTAGACTTGGCCCTGGGCATCAACGTGCTGCCCTGGCCGCACCACCATGTTCTCGGTCGGGGTCACGTAGACCAGGGGCGCCTCACGGGGGTAGGCGTGTGGTACCCATAGTGATATCGGGAATCGGTATGTCGTGCCGCGGAAGACGACGGGGATGGTGCCCGTCAGATGGAGGAGGAGGGCGGAGGCGCCGTTGGGGAACGCTGAAGCCAGTCTGTCAGCGAAAGGTTATGGGGGTATCGGTGGCGCTGGGGAGCTGCGTACTGTGGACGTCGGTTCGGGGGGATAGCGTAGGGTACTGAGACAGTACCTGGGCGACGTCGTTGTAGGTTCGGTTGACATTGCTGTATTCCTGGAGCGAGGGTCAAGAAGGGTCAGCGTCGTCGGTCGGGGATCGCGGTGGAGGTGGGAGCGTCCATACGCTGGTGAGCACGCTGTAGAGCCAGTTCAGGACATGTTGCTGGACGACCATGGTGGATTGGACCGGGCGCGCGACGGTGGTCTCGATCTCGAGCAGTGCCCTGCTGGCTGGCTGCTGGCTGCTGGAGGAGTCGTGTCGTCGAGATGGCGTCGCTGCGGAGTGGACAATCCCTGCCAGTGTAGCCTTGGCGGGGATGACGAGGCTGGCATGCGAGTGATGCGAGGGGCTTGGCGGTCCAGACGACGCTGGGGTTAGCGCTGGCTTTCGGCTACCGGCGGCCATGCGGGGTCCTCGGCGGCCTGTAATCGAGATTCCGGCGTCCATCAGCGCCAAAGCTGATTCCTGTCCATTTCCATTTCCAATTCTTTCCATTTCCAACACAGGTCCATAGATCAACGGTTCCAAAATCTTTGCCTCGCCGATACCGCACACCACTCAACACGCTACCGCCGAGGGAGCTGGCTCGCTGGGCAAGCCAGTCGTCTTTTTCCCTGGGCATGGTGTGATGCTTCGCCGTCTGCAAGGGCCCGACTCTTCCCGCCATCCCGATTTCATTTCCAAAGTCGTTGCCACCACGCTCTGCCCACACTTCAACACAAACACTGCCACACTTCACCCACGCTCCCATTCAGGGTCCTTTTTTCGCTGAATCAGGGCTCGATTGTCATTGGGTCCCTGGCGCTGCCGCCGTCCCTTCAGGGTCGATCGTGATGGTCCCGCCGCGCAGACACGTCCCAAACAGCGGGATGCCCCGTGGTCGGAGCCCTTCAACACGGGCTCTTTGTCACATTTTCAGTCTTGGACACCCAGCCCGGGCACCAGAATTTGCGACATTTTTCGTCTTCCCCACCATCGCCGGGCGACTTTTGGTCTGAAGTCGGCCATCTGACTTGAGTTGGGGCTTGCGACAAATAAAGCGCGCCAGTTACGTTCCTCTCCTCTCTGGCGCCCTGCAACTTGGCAATGCGCAGTGAGTGAAGACGAGGGGCAAGGTTTTCTCTGTCCGTCCCTCAGTCATGTCATCCCCAGACCCTCCCCAATCCACACCACCCCCGACTTCGTTCTGGCCGCCGTGGACTCATCCACTCATCCCGCGGCCCCGATTAATAAAGTCTGTTCCCCGTCCTCTCTCTCACTCCCTGACCCTTTCCCTTCCTCGATCACTCTCACCCACCGTTGTCATCACTACACGTTTTCCCTCCCCGTCTGAGCTTTTGTTGACCATTCACCCAGGACCCGGTCCTTATTCTCTTGACCACATTGATGCTCACGAACCACTCGAATTTTCGCACGGCTGAGGAGTATTACAGTCCATCTGTATACTCCTTGCGTCAGGTTCTCTTCGTGTGATCCATCTGCTCAATTCGCAAGTCGCAACAACTCTTCAACTCACTCAATCCGGACAACCCACCCCTTCATCTGCATCTCGGCCAATTGAAGACTCAACCTTGGTAGCACCAAGCGACAACTACAACACCACCCCCGAGCCACGAACATCCCGTTCGCTCCCGCAGCGTCATGCTCCCGCCCATCCCGGTACTGGCCGACTATGGAATCTCTCCCACCCATGGTTTCCTCCCGGAAACCCTGCCGTTGACGAGACTCCCCGACCCCTACTACAACAAGTGGGAGGCCATCGCCGCCAACCTCCAGGCTCTCATCCTCAGCAAGCGACTGCGAGGCGTTGTCGACCGCCTCCCCGTGCTCTCCACCATCGGTCTGGAACATGACGCAGAATGGCGCAGGGCCTACTCGCTGCTGACCTTCATGGCCCACGGCTACATCTGGGGCGGTGATAGTCCCAGTGACCGTCTGCCACCTTCGATTGCAGTCCCGCTGCTCGAGGTGTCCCAACACCTCGAGGTGCCGCCCGTCGCCACCTATGCATCGCTCTGCCTCTGGAACTTCAAGCCGCTGTTCATGGACGAGGACATTGACAACCTCGAGAACCTTGCGACCTTGAACACGTTCACCGGCGCCATCGACGAGTCGTGGTTCTACCTCGTCTCGGTTGCCATGGAAGCCCGCGGCGGGCCCATCATCTCACTCATGCTGTCGGCCATCGCCGCCGCCCGCGAGAACGACGCCGACACGGTGACACGCTGTCTCAACGGGTTCGCCGAACGTCTCGATGACATTACGACGCTCCTGGTGCGCATGCATGAGAGCTGCAACCCGACCGTCTTCTACCATCGTATTCGCCCCTTCCTGGCTGGCAGCAAGAACATGGCCGATGCCGGGCTGCCGAACGGTGTGGTGTACGAGGACGGCTCTGGCAACGAACCCTTTCGCCAGTACTCTGGTGGCAGCAACGCCCAGAGCAGCCTGATCCAGTTCTTTGACGTTGTCCTCGGCATCCAGCACCGACCGACGGGTGAGAAGCGCGATCCCGTCGACGAGTCGGAACGCCAGGGCCACGCGCCGCCGCCCAAGCACAACTTCATCATGGAGATGCGCCGCTACATGCCTGGCCCTCACGCGCGCTTCCTCAGCGACGTGCAGGCTGTGGCTAACATCCGCGACTTTGTCGAGTCGCACCGCAGCAACCGCCCCCTCTGCATTGCGTACGATGCCTGTCTCTCGATGCTGAGTGCCCTCCGCGACAAGCACATTGCCATTGTCACGCGCTACATTGTGCTTCCCAGCCGCGAGGTGCGCGCTCGCAGCCGGAGTCGCAGCCCCGAGGCCACCCGCCGCAAGGTCAACCTCGCCACAGCTTCCCGCCAGCCACAAGGAATCGCCTACGATGCTCGCGCGGGTGTTGCCAAACCCGATGGTGACAACAAGCAGAGCAACCTCAAGGGCACTGGTGGTACCGCGCTCATCTCCTTCCTGAAGCAGGCGCGCGATGAGACGGGCGAACCTGCCGTTGAGCAGTGGGCGCAGCGCTTCATGAGTCGCCAGATCCGGACCGAGGGACAGGGCGACTTCTTTGCCGGCAAGGAGGAGAATGGAGCGCCGGTTCACACGGAGGAGGTTGAGGTCAAGGGTCTCGCGGGAACGTGGACCATTGACGATGAGGTTGGCGGAATCTGCAACTACTAGGGACATATTCTTTGTCCAGCACGCCTCACAATCCTTACTCTGTTTATGCAAGAGAAACGTCATCCAATTGCTATCCGTCTTCAATGTCCACAACCTGATACCCATGAACCATTTTGTGTCGCCGTTTGGGGAGTTTGACCCCATCTCATCGTGCCTTGGACAGGGAGCAAAAAGTTAGACAAGAACTTCGACAACATTGTTCGGATACCGGGAGTCGAACCCGGGGCCTCGCGGTGAAAGCGCGATAGGTTAACCGTTACCCCATACCCGATGAATTGCTTATATAATCCAAGGGTGTTATTTTCTCTTCAGTCAGGTGGCTCCTCGCCGGAGTGAGTGGGAGACTCCATCCCTGTCCCCATCCATCTCCACAATGCTGATTCCTGCCCTCAACATCAAGCCAGACTCTCGCCCTCCTTCTTCGCGGCACCCTCCCCTTTGGGGGTCATCAGCTGAGGGGGCACGGTATTGAACAGCGCAGCATACAGCAACGCCGCCGCCGCCGGCCCAACCCACCATATCCACTGGTCTACTCCCCCGTGTCAGCACTGCATCACCCGCAACCCGTGGCCAGACGACCAAGACTCACCAGACATGTCCCGCCTCACGATCCCGCTGGCAAAGCACCTCGCCGGATTCATGGCCGCGCCCGTGTACCCCGGCACCGCGCCGCTCGTCGCAAACGCAATAACGCCCATGGCCACGCCCACCATCATGGGGCCGTAGCGCGGACCAAACAGGAGCGCGGCGCGCGGGTCGAGGCCGATGCCAAAGGCGAGGAACAGCACCCCGAAGCAGATGGCGGCTTCGTTGAGGACGGCCTGGCCTTGCGAGAGGGTCGCGCGGTCGAAGAAGCAACCACCACCTTTGAGGCTGTGGGGCGGGAAATAAATTGTTAGTGTCCTCCGGGGGGGGGGGGGGGGGGTCGGAAGGGGCACACGCACAGAATCGATCTTTCCTTCCCCCACACACCAGTGAGCACACCTGCCGCCAGTGCTGCGCCGGTTGTCTGGCCGCACATGTAGAGGACCGCTTTCCTCGTGAATCAGCCCAAACCAGTTCAGTTCACCCAGAACAGAAAAAACTCACCCCGCGGCACAGGGCACAGCCCCGTCAACATGGTCGCAAAGCTCACCAGCGGATTCAGATGCCCGCCCGACGCCGGCGCCGTCGCGTAGATGAACGTCGTTAGCAGCAGCATGGTGCTGATGCCAATGTACGCGCCGATCTGCGGGGTGTTGTACCCGATGATGGTCGCCGACAGCTCCCCGCCGATGAGCACCAGGATGGCGGTCCCTGCTGTTTCGACGAGCTGGGTGGAATCACAGCGTCAGATTCGCCGTGCGGGATGGAAGGGGGAAGGAAGAAGGGGGAAGGGGGAAGGGGGAGTGGGCGTACTGTGGCCCGCCAGATGGCCTGGTCGGTCCATCCGTCAAGGTAGTACGCTCGGTCGCGGAACCAGGGAGTCGTTCGGGGAGTGGAGGGTCGAGCGTCCGGGGCGAAGGTGCCCTCGATGGCGGCGAGGCGGTACTCGGGCTCCGGGGGAGGGGGGGGGGTGTCGTGAGACGCGGAGCGACGGCGGACGGTGGCCGAGGGGAGGGGGGGCATCTTTTCGTGGGGTGGCATTGCTCTACCGGGTCTAGTGGGAAGAAGGAGATGGAGTTGGGATATGTTGGGGGGTTGGAGGATGTTTATTTGGCACGAAGACTGGTGAATATAGGCCCCGGAGTTGGGGGAGTTTGGTCGGGTTGGCAGGGGGTATCAGTAAGCAAAGTATTGGCGACCGTTTCCTACCCCTGACAACGCAAGGTCGACATCTCCCCCTGGTTGCATGTTGACATTCGGAGACAAGGACTATCGTCCCTGTCAAAGCCAAGACCTCCAGTTCGTTGAACAAAGGAGGGCATGCCAGTGGTGGTGTTGACGTTGGAAAGGGGGAGCGGGAGGTCCCGGTGTAACATGACCCCGCTCCACCGGCGACTACTGAAAACGACTCACCTCTTCCTGGGCATCACACATTTCAACATCACTGGCACTCCATCAACAACTCATCCAAGGAATTTCGATCAGCAGCTCCTGGCAGGAGGGACTGGCTCGCAACCATGGGAAACTCGCCTCCGCCCACACCGCCAACCAAGTCCCCGGAAGACAATGAGCGGCGGTTCGAAAGCATTACTTTGCCATGCGAGTGGATTGAGGACTACCATCCAGGCGGTTATCATCCCGTCCATCTCGGCGACGTCTTCAACGATGACCAGTACAAGGTCATCCGGAAGCTGGGCGAAGGCTCCTACTCGACCGTTTGGCTCGCCCGTGACCTCAAGTGGGTTCTCCCAACGTCCACAGCGTCGATACAAGTTGCTAATCCCTCTCAGACAAAGCAGATACGTCGCCTTGAAGATCATGGTCTCTGAAATCTCAGAGTCGACGAGGGAGCTGCAAATCTTGCGACACATTGCCAAAGCTACCCCAGCAAAGGGAGCCCAGCATGTCGTCCAGCTCCTGGACGAGTTCAAGCACCAGGGCCCAAATGGTATCCACGTGTGCCTCGTCTTCGAGCCCATGGGCCCGAGTGTCAACTCCATGGTTGAGGAGCTACCTCAGTTCAATCCGCGCATGTACGGGATGAAAGTCCGATATCCGCCTCGAATGGCAAAGGAAATTCTCCGACAGTCCCTGCAGGCCCTCGCCTTCCTGCATGAGAACGGCGTCGCTCACGGTGATTTCCAGCCGGGCAACATTCTCTTTGCTCTTGACGGCACCATAAACTCAAAGCCTGAGGACGTCTTGCGGCAAGAGGAAAATGTGCAAACTGAGTCCATCTCGGCCCCGGTGCGGCGGCTTGACGGGAAGCAAGATCTATGGGCCCCTCGATACCTTTGTGTCACGCAGCCACTGACGTCGTTCACCCCCTATTCTGAGGGTTTCAAGGTCAAATTGTCTGACATGGGTGGCGGTACGTGTTTATACTCTGGACTTCCTTCTCCTACTGACGCCTGACTCCCAACCCAGCATATTTCTTCACCGACCCTCCCGCCACACTCGTCACCCCATCCGGCCTCCGGGCTCCTGAGCTGATTCTTGCTGGCACTGTCGACAAATCCCTCGACATCTGGAGCTTTGGCTGCCTCGTGTTTGAGCTCGTCACCGGACAGCCTCTATTCTGCATACCCGGATCCGACTTTGAAGACGACGACCATCTCCTCGCCCTCTCTGCCCGGATCGGTCCGCTACCGGATGCCCTCTTTCAACATTGGAAGACATCGTCACTGTACTTTACGCCCGAGAGGAAGCTGTTCAACTGTCAGCTAGGGGGGGTCGGGGAGGGCGAAGAGCCACTCATGTTAGCAGAACAGTCGATGGAGGAATGGTTTGACGAGGCTGGGCCGGAGATCGGAGAAGAGGAAGCGCTGAGGGTCAAGGCTTTGATTCGGAGGATCTTGAAGTATGACCCGGCCGAGAGACCGTCGCCTGCTGAGATCCTGCGTAATCCTTGGTTTTGCGAGGAGGGATGAGAGTCATCTTCGCGAGGCAAACGCGGAAGAGGTTGAAGAGATGAATAGGTTCACTATGTGGATAGCAACTTGAATTTGGCTTAGTATCGCAAAAAGATCAGTCTCGGCGCGCTCTTAATCGTAGACCATGTTTGTCTGTATGTAATTCTCCAAAGTTGATGACGTTACTCGCCCCGCAGTATTCCATCTGGGTTCTGATTATCCACCATGCCTGTGGCATCTGATATCCGTCTCTATTGACCACTTTGGGTTGCCCGATCCCTATCCCTCGTTCGCCTAGCACGCCTCCTGTACCCCGTTCACCTTCTCGGAGTTTGTTTCGTCCGCCTTCTCTGCTTCACCCTCCTCTGCTTCACCCTCCTCTGCTTCACCAGCCGACTCTTCTCAACCCCCTGTCTCTGCTTCTCCTCCGTCTCTGCTTCATTCTCCTCCTCTGCTTCATCCGCCATCTCCGAGTCTGCTACATCCTCCGTTCTTGCTTCATCCACCGTCTCTGCTTCATCCTCCGTCACTGCTTCATCTTCCGAGTCCGCTTCTCCTTCTATTTCAGGTCCAATGACAAAATCCACAACGTCGATGAACCCCCCTGCACGCAGCGGAAACTTCTCCACACGAGCAAGGATTTTAGGAAATGGCTTCGCCTCAACTATCCAAGAGTACCCTTCGCCTCCGTTGCCCATAAGATGCCCCGAGTCACAAAGTGACAGAGGCGAACCCGGGAGGCTTCCCGGAGGGAAGGCCTGGAATGGGTTATTATGCCACAGAAGACTAACTCCGCCCATCTCCTCCCTGACTGGGGGTTCGGCGGTGTTTTTGCTAATTGTTTGGCAAGGAAAGATGTCAAACTTGACACATGTTCCGCCTGCGTGGGCCGGAGATGCAACCCGCGTAACCATGATACCGAGAGCTCGGTTTGGTTTATCCTTGAAGGGATACCTGATTACGAAAAGCCCTCCCAGGTAACTGCCCGCTCTCATCACTCCCAAATTCTCAAAATAAGCAATGCCGCACCTAGCATTGCTCATCCACGTTTCCGGTAAAAGCGCCGTGGAGACCTTGGGAGAACGTGTGTTTCGGCGGACTAAAACATCACCGGGCAAAAAGATGGACAGAGGACGAGTAATTAAGGTCCACGAGGCAGGGCGGTTGGCGAATGCGGAAAATATTCCATAGTGGTTTATAAAATCGTCTGACTTGTAAACAAGGCTCCCGATGCGAGCCCACTTTGATCCGGTGACGGCAGTGAGTTTGATGAGGAAAGCGCCATTGGACTCGTCGAGACCCTCGCGGTTGCAAAGTAGTAGACAGCTGACCACGAATTTGCAGTGAGCGACTGGTGGGTCCGCGTGATATATGACTGTGTGATAGCTCCAAAAAATGGCCAGGTCAACCTTTACTCCGCCATTGCCCGCCAGCGAGGGGAGTCTCGTCTTATTCCTAGGGTCATGGTAGAAGGCCTCGGCAGCTGCAGGGCAGGGTACGACGTTGTGAGATTCGGCAAAGTCGGCTGGTGACTTGGCGAGAAGACTATGATGCTCCGAGCCAGCGTCAGGTGTTTTCCAAGGGATTGGTTCCGGGCTTAAAATGACATGGGCGGGTATTGGAGGGTGCTCGACTAAGTCGTTGACGATGTTGCCCCAGACGAAAAGGCTTTGGTCCTCCGGATATGTCGTCAGCAGAGTCTCTTGCAATCTCTGGAAAGCCTTGGACCCTTCCCCGTAGAGCAAGGGTATGTTGATGTCGAAGATTCCCAGCA